CTGCTCAGGCACCGCACGGTGCTGGTGGCACCCACGGGGATGTAGCCGGCATCGCAGTGGAGCGTGGCCGTGCTGCCGTAGGTGAAGTTCTGCGCAGGTTTCAGCTGTCCGTGTGTGATAGCTGGGACGGGACACTGAACCTCTGTGGATCACCAAACAAACAGGGCTTTTCAGGGGTATTCTCACTGAATACAGCTACGGTGACCGACTGTCACTGCAGCACTGTCTGGTAAGTAAGAGAAGATGAATCAGTTTAAGAAATGCAGCAACTGAGGCAGAGAGATTAGGGGTTAATAAGCATGCTCAAGCAGCCATCATCAGTAGGACTCCAAACGTGTAGCGTTTCCATTGCGCAAAATCCAACACCATTTCTGCCTGTTCTAATCACACTTGCTCTAGCAGGTTGCAGCACAACTCATTTGCACGCTCGGGGGGTTGGCTCCAGGGTGCTGGCACCCCACCTCCAGCTTTACAACAAACAAGGGGCTCTCCAACAGCTGCATAACCTCTGTCACACTGGCACATCACTGATAGCACAACAAAAACATTTTTTGTTCAGCTGCCATCTCTCCCATGAGAAATATTTCGGGGCTGGTCACAAACTGTGACAACAGAGAAAACTAAACTAAAGGCAGCTATTACTGGGCTTTCCTCATGCCTTACGATGGTGCTGGCAGGTCACCAAGACGCAGTGTGTCCCTGTTGAAATCACAGCTGGTTCACAGCCTGGTACAGCAGCATCCCAGGCACCGTCACGCCTGCGCCGCGGCAGGGCAGCACTGGTGATGCTGCCTTTGATACTGATACCCATGGAAGGAGTGTCTCTGTACTCGTACGTGTCTTCCCCAGGCCCCGGCTTAGGTATCGGCACCCCGTTGGTAATGTTTGGATTTGGAAAATGGACTGACAAGCACTGTTAATGAAAATTTAAAAAAAAAAAAAGAACAAAAAAAGAAGCAAGAAGAAGCAAGAAGCAAGAAGCAAAAAGAAAGAAGAAGAAAGAAGAAAGAAGAAAGAAGAAAGAAGAAAGAAGAAAGAAGAAAGAAGAAAGAAGAAAGAAGAAAGGAAAAAGAAAGAAAAAAGAAAGAAAAAAGAAAGAAAAAAGAAAGAAAGAAGAAAGAAAGAAGAAAGAAAGAAGAAGAAAGAAGAAAAGGAAAAAGGAAAAAAGGAAAAAAGGAAAACAGGAAAAAAGGAAAAAAGGAAAATAAAAGAAAAAAGAAAAAAGAAAAAGAAAAAAGGAAAAAAGAAAAAAAAGAAGAAAAAAGAAAAAAGGAAAAACAAAAGAAAAAAAAAGAAAAAGAAAAAAAAAGAAAACTGTTGTCAAGGCGGTGCTGGCAGCCGGGGGGCAGCAGATGCCTCTGCAGGGAGGTGCTGGGGAGCGCTGCGCGCACCCGAGAAGTTTCTCAAGGGCCTGTTTTTAACGGAACTGTCAAGGTCCAGGCAGAAACCGCGAGTTATTCCCCTTCGCAGAGACACTGGTCAGCAAACCCCTGCTTCTCCTGTGCTGAAGGCAGCCTGCGGGATGTGTGACAATTCACCAGCTACCTTCAAGATGTCTACAGGCTGCCTCAGTGCTTCAGCATCATAAATCATAGAAACGTTGAGGTTGGAAAAGCCCTTTAAGATCACCCAGTGCAACCATTAACCTACACTGCCAAGCCCACACTAAACCAGTCAAGGGCAGACCAGACTGAACCATGTCCCCAAGTGCCACCTCTGCCCGTTTTTTGAACGCTTCCAGGGATGGGGACTCCACCACCCTGGGATCAGCCTGACACCACTCAAAGCGCTAACTATGACCCTTTTAATTACATGGTAAAAACTATTACCTGTCTAATTGACTCTCGTCATCTTACGGCCATCTGCATCTCGATCCCCAGACCGTAAGGACGTCCTCCAACCCTGGGAACAACCTCTTGGCCGCTGCACGGGCGAGCGAGGCAAAGGGCGGTACGCTCCCCGCGACACGCGTTCTGAACTCCAGAGCAGAAGTTGTGCAGACAGGAGACGTGGCGCCCGGCTGTCCCAGGACGAGCTCACAGCCTCTGAGCCAGCTCTGCTTAGCACCCGTCCTGGGGATCCGTAGCCCGGCTTAAGACTTATGAAAAGCATGGGGAATTTTGGGTGGCTCTTTGCAAGTGTCTAGAGGTGCCGCGAAAGAGGAGAAATGGGCAATTAGCAGCAGCCACTGAGCTCAAATCATCCTTACGTCAGGCATAGAAAGAGGTTAGCAGCGACTTCAGCTAGAGGAAGGTCTCCCACTGAATTCTACTCACGCACTCGTTACATATTTGATCCGTAAGCAAAGCCGAGCCACAGGAGCAAAGAAAACGAGCAGGGGAGCGACACTCACCGAGACTCCCAGCCGGCTGCAGCACAAGCACCACCACTGCCAGGAGCTGCCCCAGCCAGCGGAGAAACGCTGGCATGGTGCGTGGGGCTGCTGGGCCAGCGCCGCGGGAAGGCGAGACCCTCTCCCTGCCGAGAGCCCGCCGCGGCGCGCCGGGGAAGTGGAAGCCGCTGTGGGAAGTTGGGGACAGGCCAGACGAGCCACGCTGACGCTGCCACCCACCAGCCCTTCTGACCTGCCCAAGGCGAGGGCTGCCCTCCCTCAGCTCTCCAGCAAGGGTGGGCCCCGGGAGGGAACGCTGCTCTGCCTCCATCCCCGGCGGGGACAGTGGGAATAAAGCTGTTTGACAGCTAGCACCGCTCTGCAGCATCCTGGCCTCATTTCTGAAGTGCGGAGCTGCTGATCAGGGCGCTGAGCTTTGCCTCTTCGTGCCAGGGGGGCAGGCTGCTGTGCAAACACCCTCTGCGCTGCACTCAGGGAACAGCAGCCCTCCGTGCCTAATCAAGCAATGATTATTGAAGCATCTCTTTCCTTTACTGTAGATAGGACAGAATTATTAAAAGGCAGACACAGCTGTCATTACAGTTGCAGCTTTATTACACTCTCGTGCTGAAGGAGAACTGGTCCGATCACAAGATGTGTGCTAACAGAGCTCTTCCCCTTTACTGGACGTCACAGGAAAAAAATCAGCTCGCTCTTTCTTTACACTTTTATTTCCAACAACTGCTCTTGGTGCGCAAAGATGCAGCGAGTGGCACTGCCGTAGCCTCAGATACATCTGTCCTGCTTGGGAAGAAAACGTGGTATTTCTGTTCTGCTAGAAGACAGGCTTTGAAGTTTTCTTCACCGTGCCTGCTCTGAAGGTTGCAGCTAATTAGGCAGTTAAATGGTTTTTCACAATAATAAATGCAACATAGATGAGCAGAGTAGCAATGGGCTATCCTGGATCGCAGCTGAAGAGGTGCAGCAGTCGTGGCGTGAGTGCGGGTTGGTGCTCTTACCATGTTCATGCCTGTCTGTACAGCATCTGCTCAGCTCTGACAAAAATTTACTTCCCACTCAGTTCCTTTCCAACTGCGCCCTTGTCAGTATAACAAACATATCTAAATGTAAAGCTTTAAAATGTATAAAGAGATCTACAAACCTAACCCAGTGAGCTCTGACAGAATGAGCCAGAAGAATTCGCTTCCTGACTCCCCGTATGACCAGATCTGTCCCTGGACTGATTGGTAAATTTTGTTCTGGCTACTTAAGTATTAGCATGAATTACAAAGTCATAACAAATCCTCAGTCAGCCTGGTTATTCAACACGCAAAGAGGACGGTTCTTATGATACCAGTGACAACAATCAGCTGTATGCTGGGGATTTTAGCTCCTTTTCAAGTTTCTGGATCTCCAGGAACAGTTTCCGGACTTCCAGCAGAGTTTTCAGTTCTGTCAGAGGAACTCCACACGGGGAAGTTTCCTTGATTTCAAGAATCTTCTCACATGTCTCACGCTTTTGCTTTAAAAGAACCAAAACAAAGACAGAGGGCATGAGACAGCTGCAGGGACCTACATGCTGAGCATCCCGCTCCTCCTGCAGCCCCTCAACCAGGCCAGCCCTGTTGTAATGAAGCAACCACATCCATGAAGTTGGACCAGTGCTATTCCAGGCTATAAATGGGGCAAGCTGCAGACACAGCCTGGGCAGATGGTGGTACTTACACACGTGGGCGGTGGTATCCAAGTGCCGTGAGCTGAGCAGGTACTTCGTGAAGTTCCTACTCGATGGCTATTACGTCTGCAGTAGAATGACAGGGTTTCATTCACCTCGTACCACAATTTAGCAGAGACAATCACTAGGTCCTCCCCTCCAGAGGGTTTGGGACACCGAACTGAAAGGAAAATGCATGCCAAAAAATAATGTAATGGGAGGAGACTGAGGAGAAAACTCCATGCAAATTCCACCTGTTGCTGGCGATTCGAAGGAGCAGCACCCCTGGCCCGTGCAAACCTGTGGCGGGGCATCTGCCCGGGTCTGGCACCCACCTGGCTCGCAGGTCGGCAGGGGAGGGTGCCAGGCGCCGTCGGCCAGGCACCGGCTCTCGGCATTGCCCTGCAGCTTGAAGCCTTCATCACAGGAGAACCGCACGGCCGCCCCGTAGGGAAACGTGAACCTCTGCGGAGTCATCCTTCCCCTCTCGACTGCGGGCCTGGGGCACCGAACCACTGCGGGAAGAGAGCAGAGGTGGGAGTGGTGGGTTTGGCTGCTGCCCTTCCCCAGGGATGACGGGGAACCAGGTCAGGCAGGGCACAGCTGCTCGTCCTGATGCTCTCTGCATCAGTTTCATACTCAAATGCAAGAATTGAGCCTCAGCTGCCTGCAGCAGCCCCCAGGGAGACCCTACCAGTCCCTGGTGTTACTGAACAGCTCGTGGTGCCGAGACCTCACAGGAGCTGGAGGAGCCGCACAGTCATTAAAGCCACTCTGGGTTTGGAGCTCCTGGACCAGGGCAGGTAACCAGGGCTGGGGCTTAGCCCCAGCATTGCACCCAGGTCCTGGCTCCAGTCTGATGCTGCACAGGAGAAACCACTCACCCCTGCACTCCGGCGCAGGTCCGCTCCACATCAGGCTCACGCCATCGTCGGAGGTGCAGTAGATGGAGTCATCCCCGATGAGGGACAGACCCTCCGCACAGCTGTACGTCACCTCTGTGCCATAGGGGAACTGCTCCCGTTGCAAGCCAGAGTGCTGCCCGTTGGCGATTTGCGGAGGGGAACCACAGACTATGAAATAAAGGGAATTGCTAAGAAACGCATGATTATCATAGTCAGGTGGTAATCAAAATCACGTCTGGGAAATCAGTACCAGAGTTAACTTCGTGTTGTAGTGTGGCAAATTCACATAAAGTTGCTGCCTGACTTCTTGCCTCTTACTGGGAGCTCACTTCTCACTCAGCTCCCACCTGGCTCACATCTCCGCAGAGAAGACACCTCAACACTTCCAGCCCTTGAGCCGGCGATCATCATCCCCTTCCCCAGAAGCAGATGCTGAAGGCAGGTCACCCGCTGACTGCTGTTTCTGAATCCTGATGCACGAGATTTCTTCTCAGCACCACGTTACACGTACCTTTATCACAAAACGGTAACGGGGGACCCCAGGTCGCATCAGCCTGACACTCGGTGAACTCGCGGCCCCTGAGGGCATAGCCCGAATCACACGCCACCTTCAGTCGGGTCCCGACTGTGTAGTCATTTTTGCTTTTATAAATCTCTTGTCCATTAACAATATCTGGCTTTGGGCAATGAGGTTCTAAAAACAACGGAAAATAAAGGATGTCATGAATTTTCAGACAGCACTCCAGTGAAGATGCTTTCTATGGAGAAGACAGTAAGCAAGAACATCTGAACCCTGAAAAAAAGGTGACTATCATCCAGATGCAGGTCTCAACGCTTCCTTTGTAACTCTAAAGGAGTTTCTGCTTCTACAGTCAGATTTTTCTGAGGCTGTTGGGAAAGGCACATGCTGCAGAGCCGGGTCCGTGCCTGCCCGAGCCTCCCCTCGGGGCTCTTGGCACCACGCACCATTATTATCCCAGGGGCTGCAGGCTCTGCGTCCCACTGGGCTGCACTCGTGAGGTTACTGAGCACCTCACAGGCAGCATTAGGGCCAGGACAATCATCCATGCTCTAACGCTGGCTGCTCTGTGAGGTGGAGCAGGCTCTTTTCTGCGGGCAAGGTTTTCCTGAGCTTTTGGGCTGAGGCCGCTTCCAGCAGCTTGCTGATATTGCTGTGGTGCCCCATTGCTAGGTCATTAGTTTCAGCAATGCCAGTTATTTATGCTGTTGCATTTTCTTCTGAGAGGGGAAATGCATTGAGAACATCCTCTGCTCCCAAGCTTTATGCCAGCAAACCGGCCCAGCTGTTGTCCAGAGCACAAACCACATCCCCTCCCAGCTGGGTAAATGTCTCCCAGGCTTCTTAGGAACCTCCTAAGCCTCTAAAAGCCACCAACCCCCAACCCTTCGCATCCCACCTCCCCAGACAGTAGCTCAGCCCCCCGCCAAGCCCCCCCATACTGTTTCCACAGCAATCCCCGGGCAATATAATGATCCATCTGGATCTTTTGCTGCCTATTTCTTCCAAGTTAACACAGGAGGACTAGATCTGGGGATACACGGCAGCGGAACAAAATTCTCCTTAGCTACTACTACCATCATCTAAGGCCACATGTAGATTTTTCTGCAAACGTCAGCAGACAACTATGCTGTACAGAGTGACCCAAACCTTTGCAGTCAAAAATAAGTAGTCGCCAAGTCAACATGCTTCACCAACTCTCACCTACCTGGAGTGCACTCCAGTGCTGGTGGATCCCATCTGCCATCACTTGTACACAGAAGCACAATGCTATTGCCATGACCTTTGAAAGCATAGCCATCATTACAGGTAATTTCCAGTCTGTATCCATACTCATAACTGTCTTTAGCTTCCCACACATATAAGGGCCTTCCGTTCCTGACATCCGGATTTGGGCAACGAACTCCTGAGAAATGCCAAACATTAGCGAGTGTGGCACCACGGCAAAGCCATCTGGATGACAGCAGATTCATTGTAAACAGAAGGATGAATGCTTTGTGAGACAAAGACACATCACAATGCTAAATCTGCCCAACACCACCCCTGGGCACTCCTGGGGGATGGGGTGTTTGCAAGGGACCCTGCAACTGCAACCTCCCCTTGGATGGAGCAAGGGGCCCTCGATACTGCAATGACTTTTTCCACAGGTTCAAGGGACTAGAAAGCATAGCTGGTAAATAAAGCAGAGAAAACCCTGTGGCTGGGGAACAAATCAAAGGAGTTCAAGAGCCACAGCAAAGACCAAAGACGTACCAAGCTGGGCACCTGGAGCATTCCCCTTTCTCCCGCACCCTGCAATCTGCAACAGCAGACCACGTACGGTTTCTTCATTCAGTAATAATTTTGCCAAACCACAAGGCTAAGTAAGCCAAAGGGACATACACTTACTTTCACAAGGATGTGGAGTTTCGGTCCACGTAAAATCCGGCAGACACTTAATGTGCCGCATGGTTTCTCCTGCGCTGAACTGGTGGCCCTCCTCGCACTCGTAGGTAACGACAGTATCCACAGGAAACAAATTGCCAGCAAGTTTTGTTTTAACAGCATGATGCACATCTGGAGGGCTGTCACAGCTACCTAGGAATGAAATAGCAATTTAGGAACATTTCCAGTGATAAATCAGCAAGGCCCGTAATGGTATGCCACATTTGGGGAAATGGTATGTAACAATTCGGGGAAAAATCGAGGGCTCACATTGTTCTTTCTCAGATGTACTTAATGGTCTGAGTTCAGTAATGCTAAAAAACGAAAGCAAAGGAGACAAAAACATATGAATAATTTTGGCCTGCATGGTAATTTTCACTGTTATAACGAGATGTAATTTCTAATGAAGTTTATACTATCCGAGGCTCTACCAACAAACTTTAAAACTATTAAGTGTAGTAAGGTTAATTTAGTCCCTTTGAATTCTACTGAGAAACGCTCACCAGCTTGAACAGGACAAGGCTTTTGTCTCTATGGCCCCAAGTCATAAATTCCTAAAGTCACCTTAGTGCTATAGAGAGTAGCCAAAAAAAAAAAAAAAAAAATTCCAAAAAGTTAAATCTTGGAGCCTTCACTTTCAGGACCGAATGCTTTCTTAGATGGGTGGGAACTTCACCGAAGCAAAGCTGGCGGGCCAGGTGGAGCAGCGCTCGGTCCACCGCACTTACTGAGCTGACAGAGCGGCAGCGGAGGCTCCCAGAGGCCGCTTTGTTCGCACGTGGAGACGTCGCTGCCGATCATGGTGTAGCGGAAGTTGCAGTCGAACATGACGGTGTCTCTGTAGGTGTACTCAGCCCGGTACCTGCTCAGCAGCTTCCCGTTCTCCACGCTCGGATGGTTACAGCTAATCACTGCGCCAAGGAAACACCATCACTTCAGAAATCGGCAGTTATGCTCAAGCGGGGAGATTAGGGTATTAAAAACGTTCTCGTGGCGTAAGATGTGTTCACCAAAAAGGCTGAAAATGGACATGGCAAGGTAGCAGGCTGACGTGATATTTTTGTACACCTTACTCCATTTTACAGCATTTTTTTATTTGACAACTTTTGTTCAGGCAAAGTGTAAAAAGAACATAGGGAAGGCAGCAGGTATCACAGCAGGTTTCTGAATTCTTTGCAGGCGGTCTGTTTTACACAGGCTGGCAGGCAAGATGCATCGTCTGGTCTGCAAATGCTAATAAAATCCCACTCCCATGTCCCTGCTGACTTGGTGACCATGAGCAGTTTATGGTCCCTGTGAGGGGAGCCCCTAAACCCTGTTGCTGCTACCAAAGTCAGAGGGTCTCATCTGCAAGAGGCAATTCCAGCAACATAAAGCAGAGAGATGGCTCCAAGGAAGAAAACAGCTTTAGCAGACCGGGCAGTAGGCAGCAGAGAAGGGGCTACGGCTGGCGCTGCTGCAGTGCCCCGGTGAGCTTGCAAGCGCGTGTTGTCCCAAACAGGGCTCGTTCACCCGGTGTGCAATAAGCCAATCTTCACATGCTGAGAAGAGATATTGTTTTGTTTCATTTCTGCGCAGAGATGGGTGCCAGGTGGTAATTCCACAAAGCTAGCACACCAAATCCAGTCAGCATCTATTTATACACATTCATCAGCATATTTCTTTCACATTCATTACCATATTTAATTCCATAATACATATGCAGTGCTATGACTGGTTAAAATCTCTTTGTCTAGTATTTCAATTAGTGAGCATGCTCCACTGTCCTTCAGTTTGAGTCTGGGGTGTAAGTGTGGTAGGGGGCTCATGCGTCAGTGGTCGCGATCTCCCCTGCCAGAACCACCTTTCCCCTAATTTCCTTCTTGGCAGATCTTAAGCAACTTCTCAGGGTTTACTGATCAAGTCAGTAACACGTCACCTAGACTTCTGCTCTCGGACAATCTGTTCACTAAACAAAAGCACAGTCGGGTAGGGCCTTACGACGGACATCTACAGCAGCATCGGTTTTGGACAAGACGCACGCCTCACCCCGTGCGTGGGAGCAGCTCACCTTTGCACTCCGGGGCTGGCTTGTTCCAGACACCATTTATGTTATCTGTGGTTGTACAGAAAATAGAGGCATCTCCCACCAGCAAGAAGGGCTTCTCTCCCCTTCTGACAGTGTTGCACTGGTAAGTGACAGATGCTCCGTACTCAAAAAGGTCTGTGCCAACTCCGCTGTGCTGTCCATTAGCTATTGCTGGAGGGGGTGGACATGGTATTGCTGGGGAGGGAGAAGGGAGAAGTGGTAGAGGGAGGGAAGAACAAGAGAGAAAGAAGTTAATTAATTTTGAACCAAAGGTCTGGTAAGAAAAAAATTGAAACACGAGGTGCCAGCAGGGTCAGAAATTAAAGGCAGGTCTCAAGGGAGTTGCACGCCAGCCCACAGGCAGCAGAGCTCTGACCCAGGTGCCAAGTGGTTTTGGGATATACCAGTCTTGCATGCGGCTGCCTTACTCCCAGACAGTGAATAATTTTTTCTGCAGGATGAGGCAAGAAGAAAAACCACAAAGAAAAAACGTCTTTCCAGACTCCACCATGCATCGAACTGCTGAAATCCTCAGCAGGGCAATGCGACTGCTTCGCTATCCATCCGCAGTAACATTTAAGCAGTAGATCAATTAAGGAACTGTACTTACCCTCACAGAGGGGAATATCTCTGTTCCATGTAACAACCCCATTTTTAACCACACATTGAATTTCAGGATTTCCAACCAGTCTGTACCTGTGTGAAACAGGGGAAAGGGAATTACTTGACAAACTCAGTTTGGATGTATTACCTATAACATCACCATCAGGATGGTTTTGGCTTCCTTATCATAATTACAGCTGATCAGAAATTTGCCATCAATGTCATTTTTTTCAATAACACACTGACTTTTGACAAAAGCATTTTTTAAATTAAAAAACCTACATGGTTGCTAAGGAAAAATGTCTACTTTATCAGCCAGCTGTAGCTATCACTACAGCTCTGAGTTCAGTATTGATGTCTTTTCTTCAAAAAGATACTGAAACATTGGAAATGGTTTAGAAAGGTCCAGGAGAGTGAACTTGAGTTCGGGAAGAACTGCGTCAAAGTACGAGATTAAAAAAAAAACCTCAGTCAGTCTTAAAACTCTCAAAGGAAAGCTTAAAAGATATTTCAATCACAGTCTGCAATTAAAAAAACGGCCAGCACAAGCTTTAATCTAGAGGGAAAAGACTTCAGAAAAATCGCCGGGGAAGAAGAGGACCCGTGCCCTGAGTCCTCCTGGCTTACCCAGTGTTGCAGGTGAAGTTCACTACTGAACCAAAACTGAACTTTTCTGCTAGGACGAGTCTGCCATTGGCCGGCTCTCCGGGGTAGGGGCATGGCTTTGCTGGGGGACAACAAGACTGGAATTAGTTCTCTTTTCAGTTTCTTGAAGAATTGGAAAAATGCAGCAGGAAAGCAGAAGACTCCTCCAATACGGAGCAAGGGGACAGAAGAGACCTCCAGATTTCCCCTCCAACACTAAATTATTCCATGATTCATGATCCTGTTAAGACTTGCATCATGACCTGCAGCCAGCCTCTGCAGTCTAAGCAGGGTTTTGCAGTAACCCTGGCAAGCGCGGCAGCGTTTCTTCATAGCTGAAGGATTCTCCTGCTGCAAGTTTGAAATAGTTTTTTTGAACCAAGAGTTACAAAGTGCCTGAGCAGAAGAACGTCCTTTGAGTCAGCAGTCAAACACAGCCAGCATCAAAGCAGATTTCAGGTTTTGCCATCATTGCCAGTACTTAGCGGAATACAACTGGTGCTTCATGTCAGGTCACTCATCTCCCACCATCCCATGAGGTCACTTTGGATACTGCTCCAACAAAATGAGCTGATGGCATCAGCAAATAAAAAAAACCAAAATCAAAAGTCAACCCAAAATATACTCACGTATACAGAACTCCCTTGGTCCATGCCACGTTCCGTTCTTGTCACAAAAAAGGCTGTTTCGGGAATTAAAAGTTCTCATGTAACCTGGACGACAGATGTATTCCACTTTTGATCTATAGGCAAACGTGGTAATGCCATGGTGTTGCTCTTTGAGTTCTGCAGATGGGAGACGTGGCGGAACACCGCAGTCACCTACCAACAGAAACTCCATCAGAAAGATGCTGGGAGGAAAAGCAGCAATGGGAGTTCAGGCCTGATTTACTCTGAAGGTCCAGGCAAGGACACTTCGGTGGCCTTAAAACTCCTTAAAGCTAGAAACAAAGGGGAGAAGCAGAGCCTGTGATGGGGGATGCTTGAGGCTGGCAGGGACAGGGGAGGAGCATCACCCCACAGTCCAGTTTGCTCCTCACACCCCACCCAGCAGTTTCCAAGGCTGGTCACAAAGTCCAGATTAACCATTTCCTCTCCCCACTTAGTATAAATCATTGCACCTTTTTAGCTGGAATAATTTTACGGCCATTTTACACAAAAAGGGAAAAAAGGCAAAAGAAGATGGATTCTTATCACAAAGATTTAAAATGTTCTCAAAATGCAAAGGCAACGAGAGGATCCAAGTCTTGTGAACCCCAGGAGAAAGTTTTCCTTTGAGGGATCTTAGTTTATCCTGACGGACTCGACCCCTCCTTGTGTTTGCTTACTCTGGACAGCCACAAGAGCAGTGGCGAGGAATAACCCCAGGACAGCAGCGCGATCCCTCTGCCTCTCTGGCTCCGAAGCTGGCATCTTTCTTTATTCCAGCCTCCCTGTCTGGAGATCCCACAGAAGTTACCACATTCTTTTCCTAGGCCAAATATCTGTAAAAATAGCAGGGGGGTATTTAGAGTCAGGATAACCATAGCTCACCCAGACAGGTCTCATTTCTCCATCCCTAAGCAGTTCCTACAGTCACGGCAGGAGCTCCTGGAGAGCAGAGCAGCTCCTCCGCTGGCTCCTCTCCAGCCGACGGGACGAAGACCCAGCACAGAGGAGCTGGGCTGCTGGGGCGCAGCTGGATTTGGGTGAGGAAGGCTGGCTCCAGCAGACCAGACCCAGAGACGTGATAATACGATGTAAACAGGACAGCTGATCGTAGATGTTAAGCAATTCCCATAGGCTTCATTCCACTAGTCTCATTTATTTGCATTTTTGAGAATGCAGATTTTGATTAAAATTAAAAAAAAAAAAAGACTAACAGCTCCACTCAAACTGTAACATAAATACTTTGTAGCTTGTCAGGCTCAACTTAAAAACACTGTATTACCAACATAGCCAAATTAATTCCCGCAGGGCCATGAGTTTATCTATGCCTTCTGGAAAAAGTCTCCTGAAACTTATCTTATGGGTAAAGCGTTTTGGTTTAGTAATAAATCTCTTGGAAGCAAATCCATAGTCAGATGAAATCCTGCCGGAGTCAATACAGTCCCCTAACAATAAATTACACGCAGAGAGAGAGAAGTATCTAACCAGAAAGATACAACGGTTTTGTGCAAATAACATCAACTGGAGTAAAGCTGCAAAGCATGCAAGTCATTCAGGAGACTGAATTGCTTTACAAAATGGAATTTAAGTGCAGTTCGGACTAACCTGGCACCCCTAGAGATCAGCAAGAGTCCTCTCTGACTTTGTTGTCCAGGATCATTCATTTATGAGCCTAAACCCTCCCAACGTTACGTACGCTCCAAGTGCCTACCTTCCTCCTGGAAACGAGGGCCTGTCTGGATGCTTTCTGCCCTAAACCTAACGCTTCTCGTGGCTGTTTCACTCCTCTGGCTTTCCTTCTGTCCTCGTTACAGCTCTTGGTTTAATTTGATTTAATTTACTAGTGTTTGTGCCTGCTAGAGTTGCAAGAAAGCTCCAATCCAGTTGCTCCCAAGAGCAACATTGCCTAAAGCCGTATGGCTCGAGTCATCTTACCTGGTGGTCTGGCAGCGGAGATGGAGAGACCCGGCGTGTTTGGCCCTTGCAAGATAAAGCAACGACCGTCCTTGTCCAGTCCCTCGGCTCCAGGCACCGCAGCGCTGAAGGAAGGGTTATGATACGCCCACACACTCAGATATGGCTCCATGCAGAAAAGTTTGAATTCCGCAGAGACCAGAGTTGTGCTAGTTGACCCATAAATCATTAACTCCTCCACTGAGCAAGAAGGAAGTAGTTTATTCAACCCACAAAGCGAAATACTAGAAAACTGAATGCAACCCAAGCAGATGTTGAAATTGTTTGTTTTCTGTGTGGAGCTGCCAACTCTTTGCTGAAATGATGGTTGCTGAGCAGGACGCTACCTGTTCCACCCTGCAGCAACGGCACCCGGACAGTGCCGGTCCCCAGGCGATGCCCAGGGACCTCGGGCACGCTATGGGGGCCTCCGCAAGAGGACTGCTATGTCAACCATGAGCTCATCCCTTCTGACCCCAAAAGCCCATGGCCAACATTCAAAACAGGGTTTCTTCAACCAGCTCTGCCTAATCCCATTAAAGCAACACCAGCTGGAGCTCAGCAGCACCCGAGGTCCCAGAGAGCATCGCTTGGAGCTGAACACCCAAGCTCCACGATGGGAAACCCAGCTGCTCTTCACCACATTGAAAGCCGTTCCCGAATCTGGCTGTCACCGGTGGGTCATTTTCTAGGAGTTTTGGAAGAAGTTGTAGCCATTTGCTCCTTTCGCACTTTGGCTGCGCAGTTTCATCCAGGCTTGAATCACCATCAAGAACCTGGCAATGGCCTTTTTACCCCGGGCTGTGCTCCGCGCAGGTATTGGTTTGTTCTGCCAAATCTGCAGAACAAAAAATTGTTCTGCCAGAAAAATTTACTACGTCCTTACATTGAGTGGCATATATTACCTTTCTGAAGTTTACCTGAGTCCATGCCAAATGCAATAAAACAGATTTAGTTCGTGCTCTGTAAAACACGGCAAAAGGCTGCCTGTCCTTGCCCCACGAGCAGGAGCTTGCTCACAACAGGCTCCTCATTCCCGAGCAGGCACTGACCTCCACTAAACATTTACAAAGAATCCAGTTAATCTCAAACACAAACATAGGCTTTCTAGATTTCATTTTTCCAAATGACTGATTTATGTGCTGAAAAATCAGCAGCTTCCCCATGGGCACCCAGGAGGTTGTTTAGCACCTGCACAGGGCGCTTACAGCCACGAGCATCAGCCAGGGCACGGCCACACTGAAAGCCAGCTCCTGCTCCGACGGCTGCTAAACACCCCTAAGACCTCCTCAACCCACAGCCTGGAGCAGGATAAACGGGATAAACGGGGTTTTCCTTGACCAGATCCAAGGCCACTTCTCTTCAGGCTGCGGCTGGCGAGTCCCTTCAGGACCAGCTGGTTTCCAGCTGCAGATGCTGGAAGTCACAGTTACAAACCACACCAGTTGCTCCTCTTGACTTCCCCCCCGCCAGAAAGAGAGATGGGCTTTGAAAAAAAGCGTTCCTACCCTAACAGCTCCACAGAAACCCTGCAAATCCAAACTCCAATAGCTCTAATAAAAACACCCTTAAAATTAATGAGGGAAGGGGAGCAGCAGCAGCAGCTCCAGGGTGCAGGATTCACCATTTCCAACCCAACGCCCTCCCCTGCAGATCCTCCTCCTCCAAACACTTTCCACAGACTCCTTGAGTTCACCATTATCCCACAAAACCAGCACACAATAGATAGTTACAGCAAACAATAATGGAAAGTAACAGAGGAAACTAGATCTATTTTTGTTTTAAATCTCTTTATTGTAAATAAATGCTCACGGGATATTTATGCTCAAGTACACAGAGTACACAACATACAGCACAAGTGTACATACATCGCCTTTTTTTTTAAACCTTAAAAAAAAACCATTAGAAAGCAGTAGAGCAGCAAAGTTGCAAGTAGACATGTAACATGCATCTGGGTAAACACTAACACAGAGACGCGGTTTGCAAACGGCGTTCAGGGAGACAGGAGCAGCGGGAGAGGTGGCACCGGCAGCGCTCGCCCAGCGCCCTTTGGAGGAGCAGGGGTGAGAGTTTGGGCCGTCCCCTCGGGGCAGGCGGTTCCTGGAAGCTGGACTCCCCCGACACGCGCGGCCGAGCTGCCGGGAAGGGGACAGCTTTAGAGAGGCGG